TAGAGTGAAGTACCACTGTTGTTATACACAGGGGCGAGCCGACAATAAACAGCACCACTGTGAAAACGCCTTCATCTGGACACAAATATAGCGTCGATAGTCCCTTGAAATTACGGGCTCTATACGTATTGGTTATTCTATCGTTAAATAAGTTGAAAATGGACTCTCGCTGTTCTCATCTTTTTCTTACTTCGAGGTCACCAAGCCACAAATGCGATTAGCCGCCCGCGAATACGAAGACTCAAGTGCGTGTGCCCATTATTCTCATGGTAGCTGAATGATAGCAGCGCCAGAGTCTCCTATAGTTTTCTAAGAAACTCTGTGCGTGCGGCTACTCGAAAAATATTAGACAAAATTAATAGATATATTTCGACTGCACACGATACGACTATAACACGAAATCAAAGACGACGCTATTTGATTCGGTACTCGAAATTTTCTTACATTCGCACAATTCTCGGCATGAGGCGATGTTCATGTTGTTCGAAAACTACTTTGAATATCGTCTGAGCACGTCAAATGGAGAACGCGAGCAGCAGCCGTCGGTGTGAGTTTATGCAGGATGACCTATACACGAGTATGCGTAAATGTGTGTATATATATATAAATATATATATATATATATATATATATATATATATATATATATATATGTGTGTGTGTGTGTGTGTGTGTGTGTGTGTGTGTGTATGTGTAAGGGAAAGAAGTGTATACCTAAGGGCTCGTTTGTCCGTGTTTTGTCACAACATTAATGAGATCTAGCAGACAATCATGCCATGAATGTATAGGAGAAGTTATTAGAACAAATGGAATGTGCATAAGAAGAAAGAAAAGTGGGTGAAAAAATAACCAGTCGGGAGCAGCAATCGAACGTACGACCTTTGAATAACGCGTTCAATATATATATATATATATATATATATATATATATATATATATATATATATATATATATATATATATATATATATATATATATATATATATATGAGATTTAACAGACACAGACAGTAATGCCAAAGAATGTGCAGGGGAAGTTGCTGTGAACGAGGATCTTTTCATTGAACGAGGGTCTCGTACTGGCAGACTTGGTGGGCTTAGGTTGTATAAGAGGGACAATTAATCAGCTGCCCACTCATAATAAGTTCACGTGCTACGTGACGCCAAACATGCGAACAAGAGTGTTTTCACACTCGTCGTTTGGCTTATAGATGGCGCTGACTGTCACTCCTACTTCTAAATTCACATATAAACCCAAAAAAGTGGATGGAGCGAAGGCCGCTGTGGTAACTCAGTGGTTAGAGCATCGAACGCGTTATTCGAACGTCGTAGGTTCGATTCCTGCTCACGGCAGGTTATTTTTTCATCCACTTTTCCTTCTTATTATTTACATTCCACTGGTTCTAATAACTTTCCCTGTACATTCCTTGGCATTACTGTCTGTTAGATGTCATTATTATTGTGTTAAAACACGGAAAAACGAGCCCTTAGGTATACACTTGTTTCCCTTATATATGTGACGTAGGAAGGCAGTGACTTGCAGTAGAAGCCGAGGAGGAAGAAGTCAGAATAGGATAAACTTGGGGTATGAGCCAGGCCACGTCTCCCACATCTAGTGTCACACGAGTCGACAGGATGTAGACCTGCCTGCCCCTTCACCAGTCGCTCATTATCTACGCAGTTCTCCGCATGACACCCTGAACATACATGGACTACTGTGCAAGCGCCTATAGCATTACGCATCGACAAGCATCATGTCAGAAGCATCTAGTGACATTCCCATCCCTAAGTACACCGGAGCAGCGGACGATGGACGCGTACAGGACTGGTTCGACCTGTTCGAGCTCCACGCCACTGCATCTCGGTCGGAACAGGTTATGATCATCAACTTCACTGACTACATCTCAGGTGAGGCATTCAAATTTTACCTCACCCATATCTTCGAGAACGATTAGTCTTGCAAAAAGATCAAAGAAGAAATGACCATTCGTTTCAAAGAATACGATGAAGACCTGTTCATACATCATCAGCGGAAGGCTTTTCAACTGACCCATCACAGTTACGCGAAGTCTTCCCGCAGTAAGCCTATTTTCCAAACGAGACCTCAAAGAAAATATACCACCATTGTACCATCATATGACTCTTCCGAAAAAACGTCACGCATTCGAACACCGACTGGTAACTTGCACGTCGCAACAGACAAGGTAAAGCGTTCGTATACCGAAAAGAATCTAGACAATTTCGCCAAAAAACTGAACCTAAAGCCGCTTTTCCTAAGAGCAATGAAATTAGCATTTTCAACGTGTTGACTGCACCACAACACTTCTGATTTCACTGAACCACCCGAATGCCTTGATGCTTCGTGTCACACACAAGACCCAAACGGTTTCGAGCGTGTGACGGAATTTACGTGTGACGAGCTGGTGAATCCTCGCAATACCAGCCCCCACCCTTACGTTCCCGACCAGGGTTGTTCGACAGACATTCTCAGCCTAATCACGCTGCAAAAAGAAAAACATGCGCCATCAGAACCACCTGAAGCCATGTCTGTTGTGCTCTCATCGTCAAGTGGTAACACACATGTGAGCCAAAGCATTGCAGGAATTTCGAATCCAACGCCGGCGCATTGTCAACTGACAGAAGCATTTACATTCAAGGATGACTCACAACCATCTTGGGAGCTTTCTCATCAGCCTGTCACGCTGCTTTCATCGCAAGACAAGCCTAGCAGTACAGTGTCGACTACCAACAATCTACTGATCACATCACCATCTAAAGAAAAGCAGACTCATGTTCCTGAAAGAGGCCCATCTGACGAACTTTCACAACAAGACGAGCAATTTCAACAAAGGCAACTCCACGAACTCCAAGAACTGCAACGGCTACTCGAACAAGAACAACGATCAAGTGAAACCTCTTCACGAATGCACTTGTGGCTGAAAGGTCATCAGAGACAACATCAATTAAAGAAGCAAAGACAAAGTCGATGCCTAAGCCATCTTTGCAGTAAGCAACGTCGACAAAATTTTCTGCACCAGTTCTCAAAGCCATGTCTGCGATCCAACAAACTGAGAGAACGCCACAGAAAGTTACGAAAGAGACATGAAGCTACTACGAATACAACGGAGAAAAAAAGACATTGTCCCATCATCCTCAGTTCTCACGCGCGCCGAATAGAAGCAAAGCATCTATTGCCACGACGGCGCTGGATCCGATGCCAAAGACATTCGTCAATCCAATGCTACACAGATTTCAAGCCTTGTTCGTTCTTCACAAGACCTCGAGTCGTGTCATCATCAGTGGAGATGTGCAGGGCAGGGTTATGCTGGCGCAACAGCCAGCCTCGTCCACCAGAGCTACCCTAGATATGACCGGACTGCTGCCCTATACCGTGAAGCTTTTGTGCGAGTTAAGAAACTCCCTCCTGAAATCGAACAACCGCGCATTTTGACATTCTTCACTTTATGCTTTTTGTTGTTTTGTTGATTGTAACTCGCGCTTTCTTTCGGGGGGAGGGGGAATCCTGTGACGTAGGAAGGCAGTGACTTGTAGTATAGAAGCCGAGGAGGAAGAAGTCAGAATAGAAAGTTGGGGTATGAGCCAGGCCACGTCTGCAATTCATCGTAGTGTTACATATATATATATATATATATATATATATATATATATATATATATATATATATATATATATATATATATATATATATATATATATATATATATATATATATATATATATATGCATTTTCCCGCAGAACTATAGAAGGGAACAGGCCCGAGACGTTCTTTAATCAGCTAGCAGAGGTTTCGCTTGGGCTGTATGGTCATACTTTATCTCTACTCAAAGCGTAAAAGAAAACAAAAAATGTCAGCGTGATGAACGCGTTGTCTCCAATGCCTCTGACTCTGCTTTTTTCACGCTTAATGACCAAATGAAGCCGGTAACCGCAGTGACGTGTCTCTCGTGCATTGTAAAAAAGCGAAAGGCATGTAAAGCAAATGTTGCCATCTGATGAGGCAGAGTTCGGCACAAAGGAACTGTTCAGTTCACGGCTTTCCTCAGCCAGAGCTGCATCCGTACAAAGAGACACCCTTGATACGAAACCCACGGAATCGCCTCGAGTGCGCTTTCAAAGGAGCGCTAAGAAAATAACAGCAACGGAAACTCCGGTGTGGCAGCAACACAGCGATGAAAGGAGGGCACAGAGTGTACTACACGAAGAAGGAGACAACGCCTTCTGTCTTAACCGCAATGCCTCGCTAGCGACAATAAGGGATGTTCTCGGCTGAGTGCAATTCAATCATTTTCACCACGCTGCAACGTCGAGCGGTTGGTCAGGCAAATGCCATTGTCGCGCATTACGGCAACCGCGAATCCACAGGCGCGTAAAAATCGCGAGGCGCGCACGTTGATGGCCTCTGATTGGCGGAAACATCCTCGCGTGGACCGAGAGGGGGAGCGAAAAGCGGAGTGAGCGACAGGAAAGCACGGCGGCAAAAAAAAAAAAAAAAGAAACTCACATTGGTGACATTTCCTTGTTTTTCGCAATATGTAAAAGTTATCCGGGGAGCTTCCGCACATAGCACCCCACGATGCGGGATGAAAAAGCAATAAAGCTAAACAGCCGCGAACGGGCATGGATACAAGATGGGGTGGGGGAGCGAGGGTGTGCCGTTCATTTCTGGCGCCCCTGATCCGATGAATTTCCGCACGCACGCAGTTGGTGGCAAGGAGGTCCTGAAGTGTATCAAACGACATAGAGGGGGGTACTTACGCCAAACAGCAGCATCCCCAACTGCGGACGCCAAAGGCGCCGGGCGAAAGGCGAACAATAACGGCCAAACATTGCTATCAAAGCCCCACCGCAAGAACTCCTCCCCTCTCCACTGGCGGCGGCTTACAAAAGCAGTGGGCGTCGGCCACCAGAGATCCCGCCTGCGCGGCCCGCCCATGCCGCGGCGCGGGAAAGCCGACGAAGCGCGCGCTGTCTGACCGGAGTAAGCGATGAGGGACGCGGTCGAGCTCAGCCTGCAAAGCTGTCGTGCCGCGGTCGCGGAACCGCGGTTCCTGCTACTGGATAGCGCACCGAGCATCAAAAGGCCCGGTGGCAACGTTACAGCAAGCGCTGTGGCCACCGATACGACGCCGTACGCGCTGCACGTCGCCAGGGCGGAGTCGTCGCATTCGACAACGACGGCTTCCAAGCCGAGCAAGTCTCCAAAGTCTTGCTCGGTAAAGACGAAAAGCAAGGAGGATGATGCCAAGGCTCCACCAGTGAAACCACCTTATTCTTACATCGCTCTCATCACAATGGCGATCCTTCAGAGCCCCGAGAAACGACTGACGCTCTCCGGGATTTGCGAATTCATCCGGAACAGGTTTCCCTTCTACCGGGATAAGTATCCCATGTGGCAGAATTCAATTCGTCATAACCTGTCGCTCAACGATTGCTTCGTGAAAATCCCCAGAGAGCCTGGCAATCCTGGCAAGGGAAACTACTGGACGCTCGATCCAGCCAGCGAGGACATGTTCGACAACGGAAGCTTCCTCAGGCGCCGCAAGCGGTACAAGCGACAGCCACCCGATCCACTCGGCGATGGATTCTTTTTCGGGGATCTACTGAGGCAGCACCCTCTCTTCCCTGGCGCCCTGGTTCCACCAATTCCGTACCAGCAGGCGTTCCTGCCACTGCCGGCGCTGCACGTGCTACCACCGATGACCTCGGTTCCACCGCCAGTCGTACTGAGCGGGCGCAAGCCACCAGCGCCGAGTTTCAGCATAGACAGCATCATAGGAACGAAACCTCGCCCCGAAGACGTAGGATTCTGTCGACCTTGCCTCCAGCAGTGGCCCCCTCGATGATGGCCAGGCTCCCGAGTGTCCACTTTTGCTGACCTATTCGATCGGCAGGAGTGACGCCACCTGACTGCGATGCCCGTGTTCCACGAACGCTTCTCGAGGATGACCCTCATTGGTGTCGGTGGGTGTCACCGCGGACCACGCGCCTTGAACGTTGCGGACAAGTCCTCAAGAGTAAGTCCCTCATTGACGAAGACTTTCCTGAACATTGGCGCGTGTGCTTGGAACTGGAACCCGGACGCTGTTCAACTTCACTCAGCACGCTCATTCATTCCTTGAATGCGGGAGATTAGATGTTAAAATAAGCTTGACAACGTAGTTGACCCCTATTGTACACGCCGTGGTGAATCAATGTAGCTACATTCATTCCCATTTTAATCGTGGTGTTAGGCAGTTCCAAGTTGTAGGCGCCAGTTTCGCAAATATTTGTAATCCTAACTTACCAGTGTCTCAGCATTGGCGCTCATTTCGAGAGGGCGAAAGCTGCATGCAGAAACAAATTTCCTATGATCTACTGAGTTATTCTGTTTATACCATGAAATGTCACCATCAATAGTGTATTCTGCTCGACATAACCAAAAGAGAAACATTATTTCCAAGAAATGCGTATAAACATGTTGCGATTTATGTAAACGAGCCTGTCTTTAAAATAAAGAATTTATGTTCTCACGAAGCAATATCTGTGTTTGTGCATATCTCGGCATAATCTATCTGATTTGACAAGAAACAGGAAAGAAAACGCTGAAGGGCAACTTTCAATCGTTCCTAATCAGTTTGCGAAGAAAAGGCAGGAGTGGGAATGGTATTCTCAGTTTGGATTAGCCTTTTTTTTTTTAAGTTGTTTACCTAACTTTGCGCCTATTTGTCAAGCGGAATTCCTTGCAATTGTCATAGCCTTGCGGCAAATTACACCTATCAATAACAGATGCTGTCATTCTCACAGAATGTCTCTCTATCGCATCTTCCTTAACTGCACCTAATATGTCAGATGCCTTGAAAGTATTTTATGCTCTTGTCCCCAGAAATTGAGGTCTAATTCGCATGGTGTAGTACCATGCATGCCACAAAGGTTGAAACCTTACTGAATATGCACTTGCATATTCATTGGTCTTGTGGCTAAGGTACTCGGCTGCTGACCCGCAGGTCGCGGGATCAAATCTCGGCTTCGGCGGCTGCATTTCCGATGGAGCCGGAAATGTTGTAGGCCCGTGTGCTCAGATTTGGGTGCACGTTAAAGAACCCCAGGTGGTCAAAATTTCCAAATTCCTCCACTATGGCGTATCTCATAATCATATGGTGGTTTTGGGACGTTAAAACCCACATATAAATCAATTATAGTTCATCGTAGAATATTTTACAGCGCAATTGGATAGATGCGGATAGAAAAGGGACCTAGCGCTGAACTCACAAGTGAAACTTGTTTGGAAGATGAAATAACATAAAAAGGAAACAACGCCTCATCAAAACTACATGTGCTCATGTGATACAATACAGCAACATTCATCTCTGGTCTAACAGATTCGTCACCTTTAAGAGTGATAGAGGGATAACTTACGCACTTGTTATTGAATCTAATGAAAATGCTTCGGCTATTTGACGCGTGCGCGGATCAACATGTCTACATATGATAATTGATTTCTGCAAGTGAGGAACACATCCGCACGATCTACAAAGATCTTCCAAAGGAGACGTGACTTCAGTACCCGATAGCGTCAGCTCATGTTCTCGTAAGCGCACATGCCCGTATGTAACCGGTTGCGCTTTAAAATATTCTACGATGAACATCCGCAAACTTGCTCAACTCGCGATTCTGCTGGTCTGGTTGATACTAACTCCCATATGCCTGCACTGCAACGACAGTGAATATCTGCATTATTTTATTTTCAAACGAAAGAAAACGATTGTTTGAAGAATCTATTCGTAGGATGTCTTTAAATTTATCCCTTCTGGTGCACTTTCCTTCATGCAGAGCAGCTGAAAAGGACTGTAGACACATGAATTTTCACGAAGCCGTATATGCGATTGGGAAACAAAACAAGTAGAATGTTAAGCTTTGGCATAAAATCATTTCATTTCAGCCCTATTATATTGCGTTGTAGTTCCTTTCGTCTATTTATTCTATTTTATTACATGTTTTACCAATGTGTTCAATTTTAAATCACTCATATATCTAAACGTCATGCATCGGCTAGTATAACAATTTTATCTTGAGAGCAAGGTGTGCTGGTCTATTTAATGGTTGATCTCTCGCGGTGGGTGGCGCCAGGACTTTAAGGAAGAACCAACCAACCAATCAATCTACTTCACCCGATTAGCAAGGATCCCTGTGAATTACTTTAAGGTGCACGTACAGCGTATTATGAAAATAAATCTTCGAAATTGCGTGGACCGATTCGTTAACTTTTCCAATGAAGGAGTGTTGCCAACATGAGAATGATCGTATCAGCAGTAATACAGGAGTCAACCAATGTTGTTCCCATTTGATATTTGGATAGTCGTCACAAAATTAGGTTACCATTTTCTTATACATCTGCGAAAATTCGAGATCTCAAAAAAATAAAAAGAAACGCATGACATTTCAGGTGCCAACCGCTTTCAAAGGCGCATAATTGACAGATTAGGTATACTCGTGGTCAGAAGTTGCGGACGATAATAAAGGCAATGCGACGAGTTTGTGCGGCCTCTGGTGATTGGCACCACATATTTATAAAGCCCTGACACAAACTTGAAGCCATGTTATCTCCCAGGATCTTCGCTGTCACGAGATTTCATCGGAGATGCACCGCATAGTGGAGCCATTAAAGTAAGGTTGACGCGAGAAAATGATTGGACGTTACTTATCTCGTCTGTTTAAATATTCACACAATCTTACAGTATGAATTCAGCATTTTGATTAAGATGAAACATGCATATTCAAATGTCGATATCTGTTCTCTTTCGGCTTGTGTAACTTTTCCTGCGCAGGCACAAATATTTCATTCCTTTCACTGGACCTTGTTAAGAGGAAACGGTGGTCATTGTCCTTCGCACAATGACGATGCTAATGAATAAATGTTTATTTTGGTCCAGAAAACACGCAGGTGAGCGCTCGCGCCACCCGGCTACATATGCTTAGCTTGGCGGCCTGTTCACGGGCACTTTGGACGGCCAGGGTTTGATCTTTTTTTCTTCTTCTGCCGTTTGGATGAGCACTTGGGGCTAATGTCGTCAGAGGAGGGGGCCGCATTTCTTTATAGAGGCGTAAACGCGCCTATAGGTGCTCGTACTAATTCGTTACTTAATTTGCACTCTCAACCATAAACTTTCTTCAGGTGCCTTCTCAGTTTTCACTTGTTGGCTCACTATAGTGCTGTTAATTGTTTTGTGTCTTCAGGAAGATTACATTTCGAAAACAAGAAATTGTAAATTCACAGGATTTATTTCGTCCAGATTTCGTTATGCGTCACGTAATCTGCTCATCATCATTGCACAAAATCTGTGCACACCACAAAACACACTAGACAGAAAATTATGGAGAGCAGCACAATATTATTGCGCTGGTCCTTGTGATTATTCTTGTCATGTCAGCATGGTGCGGGCAGATTTTCTTCAATGCAGTCATTCCAACTAACCCAGCTTCCCGCCTAATTGCTGCCCGTTGGCTCTTGAGTATACCTATCATGCGGAAGGCATGCACGCTTCACTGGAGTTGCGAGATACATTTTTTGACGTGAGGATCAACATCTTTTGTTCGGTATTCTTATGAATGTGTTTGGATGTGTGGGTACATATATACACATGACAAAATTTTAAACGTTTGGAGGAAGGCGGGCATGTATCCCCATCCACCACCCCCAGAAACGCCACTGTGCTTCTGCATAAGCTGGTAGCGTGAAGACCGGCTGAAGTAATGTAAATCATTACAGCTACGGGATTTTTTTCGTCTCACATCTCGGACACATATTTAAAGAAAACCTGTGTATGTCACAAAGCAACACTGAATACCCAATGCGTCGCCAAGGAGGTAGCTGTCAACAAACATGAAACTAGAAGGCACTGAACGAATGCTGTGATATATATACAGTTATGGTCAACCATATATAGTGGCATGTAAACAGGTGAATCACGAGGCAGCCGTTCGCTCTTATATGCACAGGAAGTTTCAACCGTATACCCTAACTGGCCTCCTGTCCTGTTAACTATAATTCCTTAGTTTGCGAGGCCTTACATCTTTGGCAAGCTGAAGAATTATAGTTAACGGGACAAGAGATGCAAGGCCGTACATAGTAATAAGTAGGTTCAAAGCGATAAGTTTTTCATGAGGTAGCAATGACATCTACGGAAGTGTTTATTAGGTAGGTTAACGGGATTTATTATAACTATGAATGAAGCAAAATGTAATTTTCAGGGCACCTTTTTTGTTACGCGCAACATTATTGGAAAGTAACAGATAATAATAACAGTGAAAGTATACAGGGAATGTTATTGAAGAAATCGCAATGTAACTACGAGGAAATAAACGTGAATGAAAACAAAGATAACTGTCCACCAGCAGGGTCCGAACCTGCGACCTTCGAATAACGCGTCCAGTGCTCTACCCCTGAGCTATAAGGTATAATGGTCATCCCCTTATGCCTTCTCTCTTGTTGTTCATCCCCCCCCCCCCTTATGCTCTTTATAGGGTGCATGTGCATTTGAACGTGAGAGCGTTCGTCAGCGCCGCCTGTTGCAATTGTAGCGAGTGCGGAACAATCTTCTTGCCTGCGTTGGCGTCACGCACCACGAGGGTCTCGTTCTGGCGCATTTGGTGACTCCAAATATATATATATAGCATGCGAGGGATTACTAGTCACCTGCCAGCTCGTGATAAGATCACGTGATACAGGGATGCCAATAGGCGAAAAATGAAAGTTCCGCACTCGCCGCGAAGGTAACAGGCGGTACTAACTGACGCACCCACGTTTAAATGCACATATGGATACCCCAATAGAGTAGAAAGGCGATAAGCGCCGTGGTAGCTCAGCTGGTCATTGGACATCTTATTCGAAGGCCACAGGATAGGTCCTTGCCTACGGCATTTATGTTGTTGTGCACTTTAATTCCTTCACAATTACGTTGCAGGTTACTTAAATGACATCCCTTATACTTTCACAGGCATTATTTTCCTTAGGAAGATATATTTATATATATATATATATATATATATATATATATATATATATATATATATATATATATATATATATATATATATATATATTTATAGACTTCGAGAATAGTGAAGTATAGAAAACAAAACAATAAAATATTTATTTAATTTTAACAGTTTCGGCTGGTGGACCAGCCTTCTTCGGAGGATGTAAGTGAAATGGTACAAGTTCCCGTAGCAGAGGGTCACCCTCACAGTTTGAAGACCCTTTTTTTTGAGGGTCTTCAGTTCATATATATATATATATATATATATATATATATATATATATATATATATATATATATATATATATATATATATATATTGTGAAGGAAACGCATCGTTGGCAAGCAACATCGCCACCGCTTGGGTACTGGGTGCTGGGCTTCTCTCGCTCGGCTCGTACTGATCATCGCCGGCATCTGCTTGACCGTTGCTCTGTCCCCATCGTGGTTTCATCGTAGGGCCATGGTCGCAACTGTCACCAATAAACCCTTTTTCAATTGG